AATATTGATATGGATAAGCATACTATACAATATTGATATGGATAAGCATATTATACAATCTGGATATGGATAAGCATATTATACAATATTGATACGGATAAGCATAATATGGAGACAGAAAGAAGAGTAATCAAAAGGAAAAAGTTAAACTAGAAATTTCCAGTTTTAAAAATTCCAGAAAAGATATTTCTATTTCTCTATATGCGAACAAAAATCATAGCTGAAATATCTGAGATAAAAAGGTCTTATTCCATCAAACAGAAAAGAATGGCACATTTTGGAGAGGCCTCAGGATGGAGAATGAGATGTTTCTAGATTTAAATACAGGTCTCCAGGCATGAGTTCAGTTCTGTCCCGTATGAGTAGCTTGGCCAATCACCTACCTGCGCCATTTTTTTTATTATAGTAAAACAAATTGGACTCGATAATTTCTAAACAACTAGATGCGCAATTCTATTATTCTGTCTTTTTAAGTTCTCCAAACCACTCATTTTTAATAAATAAAATAAAAAATCTCAATGGTAAATTCTTTAAAGGTAAATCTAGACTGGAAATCGGCGAGATTTCCAAATTCACACACCTCCAAGGGCCTCCACAATGGAAACGGGAAGGCAGATGGGTTTCCTGAATCTTGGACTCGCCCCTTTCGATGGTTTCTGTTCCTTAGCTTCTTCACAATGTGCAGCACAATGCACTCCCCCACCCCACCCCACACCCTATACACACACAACACACACTCCAACTGCTTTTCATAAAGACTCAGGAATCTACAAGCCACAAGACTCACCTCCCTCTCCAGCTAACAGCCATGGCAGTTCCAGGAGCAAACCTGAGTCACACTGGCTGTCCTGTCACCTCCACTCTCTAAAGCACATCTTCCAGAAAAGAGAAGCCAGGACTAGCATTTCTAAGATCCTTTTCTACAAGGGAACAGGGTCGACAAGGATGTAGGGCAAGGGAAAGGTTGGGAGAGTAACAATACAAACCCCGAGAACAAAAATGTCTGCTCTAGAGGTGGGGTCCCGCCGCCACAAGGATAACATGAACAGGAGAGAGAAAGAGACCGCCCTTACCTTCAAGATTAGACACTGTAAGACTATGCCTTGACTACAAAATCAAATGACTAGACTTTCCAAGCAATCAAAATTTGGTAAAAAAAGATGGTAAACCACATTTTTGGAGCCAGCGATATGTTTACGTTTGATATTTCTCTTTATGCCTTTAAGAATATCTATGTGGTTTATTGGTGTTGACATAAACCATTTAATGCTAACTTTAAATATACACATATATTTGGATACATGTATGTACATATATAAGTAAAACTTCTTTATATTAAAAATAAACATTTTTCAAAAGGCCAGAAACAGCAACAAAGTTCAGCACCCACAGCCACCCGTGGCCAACTTTTAAATGCAGAGAGGCTGAAAAGCCTTTGAAAACATACTTGTTTCTATCTTAGAATTATCAAAACTCTATGGAATCAATTACGAAGCCTCGTTTTAGGCAAACACGTACATTTAAAAATTATGCAAAGTTTTTAAGTGCTATCAAAAATAGGAATATGAATGAAAGGTTATACAGTACTTCAAACTATAATTACATGGCTACCCCGTGTGAGGTTTCAATAATACCACCCACATTCTTTCTGTGAGCAAGTAGGCAGATCACAATTTGACAACAGGAAGTTGCAAGCAGCTGTTTAGCCTCTGGCTGGTTAGAAGCTGCTCAATTGTGCATCTCACTACAGAGTAAAGGATACAGCACTGGCATGATTTATACCAACAAAGACAGCTACACAGCGCATGACACTGGACCACTCTCTCTTAAATTTATGTGGCTCTCCCAGATGCCTGTCAATGCAGGGGTATAATAATCCAATCACAGCTGTGGATCAAAGAGAAAACAATTAAGACATGTTCAATCTTCAATGACAACAACGCTTAAGCTAAAGAGTTATTAAATATGCATTTAATGATTCTTTATTTAAAAGCACTTCAAGTTACCTAACATCAAACACTTACGTTTTTAAACCTACCTTCTACAATAAAAAAAAATATGTAGAACACACACACCAAGGTAAGGAAAAAAATATTGCAAATATATATATATATATTGCTACTAAGTTTCCAGTTCATAAAAGCTAATGGTCTCTGCGATCAGGAGGTGGCTGCAGACAAGTTCTCTCAGTAATACACTGTCTTAGTCTCATTAGGGTGTCCTCAGTTTAAAAATCCAAACCAAAGCAAACGGCTAATTAAATCAGTGGTTTCTGAGGGGATGTGCTGGGCTAGTTAAAGTCAGAGCAGAAAGGTCAGCTCAGAAGGTTAAGAAGACCGTTTCTGGGGACTCTTGATACTCCTGATTATCAAAAGGGGGAATCTTAATCAACCTCCTCAAAAGACACAATGTGATCATGGCGGCTTCTCAGCAAGAGGTTCTACCACAATTTACAACTTCACTGCTGAGAAAAACAAAAACTGGAAATTTCACTGAGGAATTTTTATTCTCCTCCTATCACCACAGGCTTATTCTTGGGGGAAACGAAATGTTGTCTTACAAGAATGTCATTGGGAAATCTTACCCCAGCCACCCTGTACAGCACTGATCCTGCCCCTTCAGGTTTCTTCTGATCCCCCAAACTCAGAAAACTTCAAAGGAACATGATTTGAGTGCCCCAGAGATGCCAAACCTGCCACTGGGAGGTGGTGTCAAAGAACGCAGCATTCTTCGGGGAAAGGAGGTCGTATCAAGAAGTAATAGCTTCACATTTTGATACTTGTGCTTAATAAAGATTTCTATCAGTTTGTAGCAATGCTTTTTGACAGATATATAAGAGAGGCTTTAAAAAGCTCTCTTTTCCACTTTAAAAAGTGGGGGGAAATCCATTATCTTTAAATTTTATTTTTCCACAAACCTTTTGAAGCCCCTTGTAGATATGGATTATACCATTAATGAAAGCATCGTAAACTTCAAAAACAAGACTGTAAATTATGATAGGCAAATGCTATTTACATGTATGATTCACACGTGAACAAACTGGAATCAATCGTTCATGACACTACTACTCATATCTCTGAGACTTGAAAAGCATCGACCAGTTAAGAGTTAAACAATGTTCTCTTTAAACTGTGTAACAAGAAACATGCTACTGAATGCCACAAAGCTAAGGAAAAGTTCTGAAACTTGCTGCGATTGAGTGGATTTCTCCTTGCAGGAACCTTATGGCACAGAGGAGAACGGCCCTGTGGGTTTCCAAGGCTTTGCATCTTTATGGAGTGGAAAGAGCCCCAGTTGTTCTCCCTAGGAGCCGCTCGTAGTTTTGAACTGCTGACCTTGCAGTTAGCAGCCCAGCATGCAATACACTATGCCACCAGGGCTGGAACCATATAACTGTACAAGTTCATTGTACACCCAATATTCTGGTGGTTCCAGCTTTCCCATTTTGTAGATTAGCCTTGCCGCTCCAGCGTCTCTCCTCATTCTAGTGGCTCCAATGCCCTTGTCCTGAGTCTAACTGACTTCCACCCTTGGCCCTTGTGGGAAGCAGAAGATTTCTCCCAAGTCTCTCCCCCAAATATGTTAGACTTAGGACACTGCTAGCAGCTAATGATAAACGATTGTCAAGTTACCTTCCTGAAGGCAGTCAGTGGCTAGACCACTGATAGCCCCCCTCCTCCCCTCCCCACTCCCTTCTGTTAAAGACAATGGGCTACTTCTCCCTATAGGCTTGCAACCATTAGCTTGGCTCCTGTAGGTGGGGATTACACCCTACTGATAATGGTTTCTATGGAGATCCAGAGAAGTGGTCAAACCTGCTCAGTGACATCCAAAGTTAGGCTGCCATCCTGAATCTAGGATCCGCCCATCTTGTCACATGTGTACCCCCATTCCTCCTCCTCTTCCTATTGTGTGTATATCCCTAGATTGTCCCCCTCTCACTGCTGTATAACCTATAGTGCAACCCCTTCCTGTGATGTATGTCTTTACCTGTAATTAGTGAGCTTGCAGTCCTCCCAAAGATATATAGGCCTGGGTTAGCAATAAAAAGCTCTCTCTCTCGGCGTCTCATTGGCTCCCTCTCTTCTCCCGTCCTCGCTCCCCTGTTCCCTTTGCCCTTGTCCTCCTCCCCCTGCCCCTCTCCCTCCACGTGGACCACCAAGCAGGGCTGAGGTGAGCATGCTACCATGAAATGTGTCTGACTCCATTATTTCAGTCTCATTTTATCTCTCATGCGCTCTATGACTTTACTATAATCTTTACTTATTATCGCTGTACAATTGCGCCTGCGGGCCTGTGATGATGTGTTAGGGGCTGGATTGCCCTGACAGGCCCTCGAATAAGTCTGCATGTTATACTACCACGGCAGAAAGACTCCCAGCTGACATTTACATGTAACATTCTATTGCACACAGGAAAATATGGGGAAAACAGGTTATGGATTACAAATTTGAGGTTAAAATTTAAATTCATTATTGAGAAATAATAAGTTTTCTCAAGACATTTCTTAGTTTTAGAAAGAACATCTTGAATGCCACCTGTGTAATTAATTATAAATAAATGTATACAAATATCTGTGGTTGAAACTCAAACATTCTCACCCAATTCTTAACATAAACACCTGTCAAACATTTTATTCACCAGGTAGAAGAGGATTATAAATGCTAAGTTAATCATTTTGAAAGACTAGTTAATGTACCACAAAAACTTTTCAGAAAGTTATAAGGAAAATAACTATTTCCACAGATCATAGCTAACAGGAAATAACTAGGCACCTTTGATTTGCTCATCTTTCTAAAGAGAATGATTATGAGAAGAAAGACACAACTGTCACATTAGTTGAAGGTATGTTCAATATCACCTGTGAGGCATCATAAAATTATTGCACCCAAATTGAAGTGTCTGAGTGGCACAATCTCCTTCCCTGGCCTGGTGCAGGCTCACTCCATCTTGCAAGCAATGCATTCCAATCTTCAAGGAAAAAGACAAATCGATGAACTATTATGCCTTCCAGACTAGCAGACCAAAGGAGCGCCATTAGAAAGAGACTGCAGGAGGTAAACAAGTGGCCATGGAGCTCAGAAGCAACAAAGCCCACATGGAAGAAGCACACCAGCCTGTGTGATCACAAGTTACCGAAGGGATCAGTTATCAGGCATCGAAGAACCAAAAATCATATCATTGTGTGCTCACCTCCCTGATACGATCGCTGAAGACAAATGGGTGCATAAGCAAATGTGGCGAAGAAAGCTGATGGTGCCCGGTTATCAAAAAGATATAGCATCTGGAGTCTTAAAGGCTTGAAGGTAAACAAGCGGCCATCTAGCTCAGAAGCAACAAAGCCCACATGGAAGAAGCACACCAGCCTGTGTGATCACAAGTTACCGAAGGGATCAGTTATCAGGCATCGAAGAACCAAAAATCATATCATTGTGAATGAGGGGGTGTGCAGTTTGGGGACCCAAGATCCATTTGTAGGCCACTGCACATCCCCTTACAGAAGGGTCTCGGGGAGGAGACGAGCCAGTCAGGGTGCAATGTAGCAACGATGAAACATACAACTTTCCTCTAGTTCCTAAATGCTTCCTACCCCCCCGCAACTATCATGATCCCAATTCTATCTTACAAATCTGGCTAGACCAGAGGATGTACACTGGTACAGATAGGAACTGGAAACACAGGGAATCCAAGACGGATGATCCCTTCAGGGGCAGTGGTGTAAGTGGCGATACCGGGAGGGTGAAGCGAGGGTAGGGTGGAAAGGGGGAACCGATTACAAGGATCTACATATAATCTCCTCCCTGGGGGACGGAGAAACAGAAAAGTGGGTGAAGGGAGACGTTGGACAGTGCAAGATATGACAAAATAATAATTTGTAAATTATCAAGGGTTCATGAGGGAGTGGGGAATGGGGAGGGAGGGGAAAAATGAGGAGCTGATGCCGGGGGTTTAAGTGGAGAGCAAATATTTTGAGAATGATGAGGGCAATGAATGTACAAATGTGCTTTACACAATTAATGCATGCATGGATTGTGATAAGAGTTGTATGAGCCCCTAATAAATTGATTTTTTTAAAAGAAAGACACTGCAGGTGCCCTCTTCCAGGAGGAGAGATGCTGCCAGGGCATATGCACCTTCTAGTCCACAAACTGAGTGGCCTTTGGAGAGGCATGTGCTAAGCGTGCACATAACCAAGAGATTAACAGCAAATGTCAGCAACCCAGAGCTCCAACAACTATTTTTAAATGCTTTAGTAAGCTTTTAAGTTTCACATTACATTGCCAATTAAAAGATTTCACTCTAAAATACTGCACGTTTAACTGACAGCATTTCTCCAGAATTCTACACAATTCAACTTGCAGCAAATAGGCCTCACCGTTGAGATGTAGCTAAGTGAGTATTACCTCTTCTTGTTTCCTCAAGGGGTCATGAAACCTACCATTGCTCTCGCCCTCTCTTCCTTTGCCTGTTGCTGAGTAAAATCAAGTAATATCGGGCCTTCCGAGTCAACTTCCCTCAACAGCTGATGCCGCGGGTAAAGAATTATCACATAGAAAAGACTGACATGGATGTGCACAGATATACGTAGGTAAAAAAAGTTATATTTTTAGGCATGTGATATCAGGTTGGCAAGTGAGAGGAAAGTGAGCAGAGAGAGCCCAAAAACGAGAATCTAAACCACCAGGCTGCCAACCTTGGGATTTGCCAATAAAAATAAAATCCATAGAGTATGCCTGGTTCTCTCTTTCTTGGGGAGAGGAAGAAATTGAGGAAAGTTGTCACTTCCTATTAACTGTCTTCTTTCTTTTCTTTAAATAAAGGCATGGCAGGGTGAGCTAGCAATATAGACTGCACCGTGAGTTTGCATCGTTTGAGAGCTAGCTCAG